AAATACCATGGATTGGGTCAGGCGCACCTTAGTCCTCAAACTGACATTTTTACTCTTCAACATGTTAAAAAGGTCTTATGCAGCAGATTTGCCTAATGCAAATACGTTGTTTGATTTCTTGACTGCTGCTTCCCTTCACCCTACCAAACATGATATCCTTCTCCAGCAACTGGTCCCTCCTGACAATATGTCCGAAGTGTGAGGACATATTCTAGACTCATGGATATAGAAAGGCTGTGTGCTGGCAGTCAGGAGGCAGCTTGCAGAATGTGCCCTTTGGAGTATTTTTGTGTACATCAAAACACAGAGGGAATAGAAGCAAATACTGTTTTATGATGATATGTGGAGATTATAATCATTGCAATGAAATAAAGTAAGATAGGATGAGTTCAAAACTAATGTTCTCTCCCATGTAAACTATCAATTCACAATAAAATCTTAAAAAAAAAAAAAAATCAAAGGGGCACCATGTACCTAAGAACAGAGGTGAGATGGGATAGGAATACAGGTGGAATGGAGATGGGAGGCACAGGCAGGTAGCAGATAACTGTTGTTCCATGGAAGGAAATTGCAATTATTGAAATGAAACAAAGTGTATTATTGGTTGAATGTAAAACTGATGATCTTGTCTATAAACCTTGTCTCAACTCACAATAAAAAGTTAAAAAAAAAACAAAACCTAACTCTGACTCAGGAGGTCTGTTGGGGAGGCTGAGATCATGCATGTTTAACAAATTCCTTGATGATGCCAGGCTGTGGGAACATTGGGAGCCAGACTGAAAGGGGCTTGACTCCTGGGTCCACTGAAGCCCACCCTAGCCTGGTCTCCTTTCTTCTTCATGGATCCACCAGCCTACAGACCCTCCCTTAAGTTTCTGAGAGGAGTGGAGGCCCAGAATATGGAATATTGTGCTATTGAACAGCTTTTAATTTTATGTAACAGGATGCTGCCCTTGTCTGCAGCTTGGTGCCTGGGCTAACAACTGAAGAGATGGTTGAATAGACTGTGAGGCTCAGAGACCACAGAATGGCTGCTGTCCTCCTGCTGTCCAGGGAGATTTCAGAACGCAGTCTCAGGGTGTGGGGAAGGTACAGGGGGCTGAGATAAACCCCCCACTCCACCTTGGAGTTGAGGTGGTCATAGACGCCATCTTCTCCACAGCCTCTGAAGCCACAGCTGAGAACAGGCCACTTGATTGCCTCTCAGGGCAGCCTTGCATGTGGATGTGTGGGCACCTCACATCACAGAGGCCCAGGGAACATGAGGAATCCCAAACCTCACAGCCAAGCTGGGTTTTTTTCATCCCAGGGGAGACCCTAGAGCAGAGGCGACATGGGACAGTGCTGAGCATGGACACCCACACTCTGGGAATCCCCAGAGCTCAGGGTCAGACCAGTGAGTGTCCTTTGGACTGGGGCTCCTGGCCTAGAGATACCATCATGCACAAGGGGCCAGGTTTGTCAGCAGCGCGGTGTGATCAGAATGGTTGTATGGAGGGCAGAAGGTGACCATGTGTTTTTAAGGAGACCAGAGGTTCGAAGCAAGGAACTGTGATCTAGCCAGTGTGTAATTGGCTGTGGAGACCAGAGGCTGGACCAAGCCAGGAAGAGGTCCAGAAGAGATGTAAGGGACTGAGGGGGAGGGAACTTCAGAACTGAAGGACCCTCAGAGTCCTGTGAGGATTCTGGGGGGTCTGGATGGAGACAAAAGGAAGAGGGGTCCGGAGGCTGGAGGCAAGGCAGGGGTGGCACCTCAGTAGCAAACTTGGTGGGGGCTCAGAGCAGGTCCTTTCTAGGGCTCAGCTTGGTCTTTCTGTTCAAAGCACAGGCCTAGGCAGAAGTCTCTGAGTTGGCCCTGGTCTATGGCAGTCCTGTGGTGTGGTCAGAGGGATCCAGGGCTATGGAGACAACCTGACCCTGTCTGAGCCTCTGGAGGCAGGTGGGGAAAGCCAGGCTGAGCCTGCAACAACCATGGGGCCACCCCATTTAGATAAGAGTGGAAACCACTGCCTTCAGGAATCCACAGTAAGAGATAAATTTGGGGGCCTTCCTCAATCCAGTTTGCAGGCTCTACAGACTTCAGGGGCATCCAGACATGGGTGCTCCTAGTCCAGACTTCAGAGACCTCCCAACCAGGGTCTTGTGAGCCTTCTTAGGGTGCAGTGGGGCTAGAACTCTGCATCCTCCACCTGAGGACACCAGGCTGATGGTGGAGAAGGAACAGTTGGGAGGAAAGTCACAGTATCAGTAAGGGGTGGGTGATCTGTCGGTCTTTGATCAGCACCTGTGGGCCAAGCAGTCGCTTGATAAAGCAGTGAGCACACGAGTTGACTGTTTGGCTCTCAGACCCAGGACTTGAAATAAGCACTGTACTTGGTAGTGGCTACAAGGCTTGGGCAAGGAACTAATAAGCATCCAGGTCTGTTTGCTCATTGTACAAGGCAGGGTTAGTTACCCCTGACCTCACAGAGCTATAGACGTGTGAAGGATGCTGGGCCAGATGCCCCAGCAGTCACCAAACCACACTCTCCTAGTTACCTTCCCAACACAAGCCTTTTTAGTTTCCAATTGAGGGAGCCCAGGGCCAGGCAGGTGTCCAGAGCTCCTTCTTGGCGTTTGGACACTGGCTGCTTCTCTGTTGGGGGAGCCAGTCAGTCAGGTGGAACCATCTTTGAGGTTGTAGTCCCCTGGGACCACCCTGGGCTCAAAAGTAAGAGAACCACTCTAGCACCATTGGTTCGTTAAAGAAATCTGTTTAATGGTTTAGGAATGTGTACACTCTGGCTCTGCTAAGTTTCCAAAAAGGTAACTTTTCCATGTTTTAAAAAATAGATTTGATATAAAGATTCATATATTCATAAATAGGTAACATGAAAAATTCCCAAATGCAAATGGCATCCTTGGGCAGGCTGATACCCCCGACTCCCCTTAACGTTCCAGGCCCTGCAGGGCGCAGCAGCTTAGCCTAGAGGGGCACCAGTCCTGGCAGCCCTTTGGGGGGAGAGTAACTGAATTCAATATGAATTAGGAGCTTCCTCCACTCCACTTCTCTACGGGCTGTGTCCTTGGCGTCACAGCCCCATTCTCAGAGGACAGAGCCCCACCTCTCTGGTTGGGAGCTGCCCAGAATTCGACACCTTGAAGAGTCAGGACTTGAAGTCCCTGCCCTGCCAGCCTTCCCTGAGAGTTGTAAAACACGTCTCCCTCCTGTTCCTTAAGCCCTCTCCTCACCCAGCCCGCTCCAGGCCTCAGGAAGCCTTTCTCCCAGTCCTGGAGGTGGCTTCAGGAGCACCTCTGGGCCTTCCTCCCCTGCTCTCCCAACCCCATTCTCTTGGGCAATTTATAAACAAAGGAAAAGATTAAACTGTTGTCCTTTTGCCCCAGAGGCCCTGGGATGCTGGGAAGAGGGCCAAGCCTGCCCTGGGGAAGAAAACACAGGCTGGTTTTGTTCTGTCTCACACCATTTCCCCATTTTCTCCTACCAGAGTCTAGGTCCTCATCAGACAGTGAGGGTCCTGCCTGAGAAGTACCACGGAGACCAGCTGCCACCCTACACTCAGCCAACCCACTCAGGGGCCTGAACCCCTTCTTAACATCATTTGTCCGGTAGGCAGTAGTGGACACTGTTTCTGTTGGAGCCTGTGGGAAATGGCCAAAGGACACCACCAGGCTAGAGGGTGGGAGAAAGGGCTCCTGCTTGCCAAAGAGTACTTACTGTAGACAAGGCACTGAGCCAGGGATGGGGCACTTTCCTCAGGTGTGTCCAGCTGGGTTATTTGTGGGAGGGATTGGCAAGTGGAGGAGAAAAGACAGGGCCTGGGTCAGGGAAGCCAGGTTAGACTGGACAGAAGTCACTCATGGGGAACAAGGAAGTGCTGGATAGAAGCTAGAATGGAGCTCTGGAAGCCTTGGGCACCTGGGTGGCATGTACATAGTATCTGAGGTGTTACAGGTGGGAGACACGTCCTCCAGCACGGCCACTCTGAGATCAGCCCTGTAGTTCAGGTGAGGCAGCAGAAGCCGTGAAAATGGCCAAACTACGCACAGTCAGGGTCTCTCCTGTTTTGGGTGTGTGTGTTCATAAAGGGGTTTGCAGAGGTTGGTCACAGTGCTAGGCTAGGACCAGTGGGGAACTGATGCTGCTGAATGTGGCAGGAAAGATTTCGGCACCTGGGATAGGATTGGGTGAACTGCAAGTCCCTTTCAGAACTGGGCCTCCGAGAGCTAAGCTTTTACTTTCATTAAATGTCCGCTTTCCCATCCCAACCTCTGCACCCCAAACTTTGAAAGCCAGTGCTAAAAAATCAGCTGGTTTTGCAACCTGAGTGGCAAAATTCTGGATCTGCGCCAGCAGACAGTCCCCACTGGGCTGAGGCGATGACCCCACACATGTTGTCAGTGAAAGTGAGACGCTCCCCTGGACACCAGAGCACACTGGAAGTCGTGTGTAAGGCAGCATGCCAGGCCCCGAGGTGTCTGGAAACAGAGCAGGCAGCAAAGAAAGAAGGCTGCTCAGCTGAGGGGTGAGGCTGCTCCAGGGCAGTGACAGGTCTGGTTGCCTTAACAGCTTGTAATCTGCTGCTACACAAAGGGGCCTTGGAGTGACCTGAAGACCCACAGCCCTAGAAGGCAGCTGCTACAGCTGCAGCAAACTCAGGATATGAAATGTTCAGGAGTAGACGTGGTGCAGGGGCACGTCCTGGCCCCCACTGCTGTCCACACTGGCGGCTCAGGCCAGTTCTGGAATGTAAAGACTGTGAGGGAAGGCATGGTTGGCTAGGTGGGTCCATATCCTGACCTGTACCAGCAGGCCCTGAAGGAGGTCTCCAGTTTCTTCCTTCCTCCAAGGCCCCTTTCCCACCAGCATACAGGCCAAGTCCCAGGACCTCTCCAGCCACTCCAGAACCACTGGTGTTCTGGAGGGCCAGCTCAGGCGTGAGCTGGCAGGCCAAGATGAGAGGCATTGGTGGGAGGCCCAGCCTGTGTGCCCAGCATCCCAGTCAGCACCCACAGCCCCAGCTCTCGCTGATGTCCTTGCTGTCCAGCTGGATATGGTCGGTACTCTTCTCGCTGAACATGGGGCCCCCGTGTCGCATGAGGAGTTCTGTGGCCACCCGCAGAAAAGCCTCCTCCACATTGCTTGAGTCCTTGGCTGAAGTCTCGATTGCACACAAGATGTCGTAGTGCTCAGCCAGGCTCTGCGCCTCGGCCAGTGGGACCTCCCGCAGTTCACTGAGGTCTGACTTGTTCCCTGCAAAGAAAGGTCAGACACAGCTTTGTGAGACCTGCAGGTGCTGGGCAAGCCAGCACAGCTGGGTATGGAAAGTCATCTCATATTAAAAAAAATATGTTTATGTTAAAATTCTAAGTCTATCCTCTAGTACCTCATTTGGAGTCCTGGTGTGGTACTTGTACCATCATTTTGGTTTTCTTTATCCAAATCTTTACCAGAGGCTTATATGAAGGTGCTTCAAAAAGTTTGTGGAGAAATTCTAGTCTTTTCACGCCGTTTTTCCATGAACTTTTTGATGCCCTCTCACACATTCTACTGCTTCTTTAGAAAAATAAGGGCAGTAGAGTATAATGAGAACACTGTCCTCTAGACCTAGAATGGCCTGTGCTGGAATTCTAGCTCACCCCAGTAGGTCTCAGTTTCTCCACCTTCAGCACAGGATAGCAGGGCAGGAATTGAAAGATACAATGAATGTGGAAACAACTGGGACTCCGTAAACATTGAGGTGAACAAAGAAGTCTGGTATTGGTCATTTTTCTCTTTTGGCTAAAAGCTTTCTGCTGTTCTGTTTATTACATATGCTCTCCTATTTCCCCTTGTGCTACCAGGAATACTTGATATGGCCCTTCTAGCCGTAACCCTCCATTTGTGAAAGGTTGTACATCCTAACCTGTATGCTGTGGCTACGGCCCCGTTTGGGAGTGAGCTGTCTGTCATGCTGATAAGGTAGGGTGATGGTGAATTTCATCGTGCCTTACTAGAGGGTATGATTCAAATCATCACCCGTACCACCCAGTCACTACCCTTCACACCTTTATACCGTCATGTTCAAGTAGGAGAGTTTCCTGGAGGGTGTGGTCTACATCCAATATATGAATGCTCTAGCAAGGACCACTCTCTTGTGTCTGACTCATCAGCAGCTGGTCTCCAATTCTTGGAACCTGAGCCAGCAACCAATCATCGAACCAGATTCACCAGCTTCTGCAGTCTTGTCAGCTAGTGGCCTGTCATCTGACCTGTCTTTTTGGGTTTGTGAGTCCGTGCAGCCACATGAGACCTCCAGACTGACGCTTGACCCATGTATTTGGGACTTGCCAGACTCCACAAATGCATGCACCATTTTCTTGACAGTTCGTGAATTCTGTGAAACACTGCAGCGGATTACAGAACCCAAAGACAGAAGGGAGAGTACTGAGGGGCAGAGAAGCAGCTGATGTCAGAGACAGTGGAGTGATACAGTAGGTTGGAACAGTTAAACATTTGGGGTATCTTTAACCTATGCCTCATAGAACCAGTTTTGTGATAATTCTTTTAAAATAAATTATTCATGCAGCCTTATGAAATTTTTTAATTGTTTTTAAGATTGTGATTTTGATTAATTTTCTTTTCTGACAGTAAGAGCACACACAGACTATTACTTTGTATACCTTTGGATGAGAGTATACCTTGGGCTCCTCTCATCAAGTGTGATGATTTCATTACATTCTAAATAATCTGTCAAATTGCTTTTTGGCCCAGCTACTACATGAGTCGGAACCGACTCCACGGTACTTAACAACAACAACAACTATGAGATTCAAGTCTCGAAGTGACTGACCCTTGTGATTATAGAAAGGACTAAAACCAAACAAACAAACTAAAAATGGAAACATCTATAAAGATCTACAATTTCACTGGTAAATTTAAATGATCCAGCAACTAATTTTAATGTGTGGACCTTATTTGGATTGTGAGCGGGCTTAAAAAAAAACATACATCACACTTATAAGAAATTATATAGCTGACCACATCCCAAATATTTGATGATAATAAATAAGGTAATATCATCAGTATAGTCAATAGATGGGATAATGGTACTGTTGTTATATTTTTGTAGACTGTTTGTATCTTTTATAAACTCATGCAGGAATATCTACGATGAAATGGGTTGATGTCTGAAATCTGCCTCAAAATAATACAAGGGAGGGGAGTGGATGGCGGTTCAGATGAAACAAGACTGGACATGAATTGTGATTGTTGAAGCTACGTGATGGATAAATGAGAGTTCATTAGAGCTTCCTCCTTTTTTTTTTTTTT